CGACCAAGGCTCGAAAGTCTATCGGGGTTTGGCTCTACACCGACACCCCATTTCTGCCTTCTCACGTGTCCCAGGCGTGCCGGCCTTCTCGGCTGTGAGATCTCTAATCTCGCGATCGCCGTTTATTATCGCAAATGACCCCCAAGCTTGGGGCCTTCTTTTCTAGTGTCTTGTGGCCGTCAAGTTTTTTTTTCCTCATGGCCTTGACACTCCCTTGTGGTCCGCTGCATTCCCTTTGGATTTCTTCTCAGTTCCAAGGCCTAGGGGCCTCGAAATTTAGGCTCTCTTCCTTTTTTTCTAATCTCTTTTAACATGGTTCCAAGGCCATTCATCTTTCAAGTTGCTCGTGGCCCGGCACCTGCTCGGGTGGGCCTTACCAGTCTCCTCTTTGCATCCCCTTGCTTGGTCCATGGACCTTAGGCTCTTCTCACGCTGTATTCAGGTGGTCTCCTCGGTCGTGCGCTACGCTCCCATGTGTCGGCGTCCCGACACTGTTTTCCTTGACGTCTTTGGTCGCCTTCTACCTACGGTGCTCGTCCTAAGGGTATTATTTCCTCGGTCGCCTTTACTAATTCCTTGCATCACTTTGTCGCTTGTCACATTGTTGGTCTATTCCGGGCCCAATGTTCCCGGCGGCCTTGGGCATCCTCTAGGGCCCTAGGTGCCGGCATTCTTGCCTTAACCCTTCATCCTTTCTGTCTCTCTTGCTTCCTCATTCCGGATTCCTTTATCGTGCACACTTTAGCCATATATCGTCTCTCAGGGGCCAAGACTCTATTCGGGAACCACAGTCCCGACACCAGTCTCCTTTCAATTGCAATAAAGGTTATGATTCTTCCAAAAAAAAAAAAAAAAAAGATAATAATAAAGTTTGAAGAAATTAATTAAGATTTGAGTTTTTTTTTTTTTTGGGGGAGGGGGGAAGGATGATAGTCGAGAACAAACAAAAGTGAGGTAGGAGCGATCCTAGCTATGTGGGTAACCCAGTAGTGTGGTAAGGGTAATAGGCGAATTAGGAATTAGAT